ATCGGAGGTTTCTTCCTGCCCCAGGTGTGTTGTTGTTCAGGGCGTATTCATGAAATTCGGGGATCAAAATATGTGTCAAAAATTTGTAAAGAAATAAGTGGTGACCTGGGCTGTAGGTAGAGAATTGAAGTTATCTGATGAGATGTGTTTTTTAGGTGAACCCAGGAGTTCAGGCTTTCTAGATAAGAACAGGAAGATAAAGGCTGCTGTTTGGACGTGTAGCAAAGGGTATTTGACAGCAAATTGGCGATAGGAGAGTGTTTATCCTCCTTTTCCAGAGCGCATCTCTTCTTCCCTATGTCTTTTGTAGTTACCCAGCACTTTGTTAAGATAGTTTTTATCTGTTTGACGAGTTAAATATATACTTTTTTTTCTCAGTAATAATTTTGCTGCTCTGGTGAGCAATACTGGCTGGTGAAGGTGTTGGACAAGCCCCAGGGTGGGAATAGGAGAAGCAGGACCTTCCCACGTCAGCAGCAGTGAACTGTAAGCCCATCCCTCACCTGGGAGTTAGATCAGCTCTTGGTGGTAGAGGAAATTAAAAGCTGGTATCCTTCTGTATGGCTGCTGCTTTGCATCCAAATGTTTTTAAAGGTCCTGTGAAGGAAAGTATTTAATGAATCAGGACTTAAATACTGATAGTAAGAAATCAAGAGATTACTTCTTAATTTCTTAAGAGATTTGCCATCATATTTCTGTCAGCATTTGTGCACCCCATAGCTTGTTCTTCATTTCACTCCCTTTGCCTTCCGTTTGAAAATAATCCAGCATTCAGAAATTATCAAGAGTTTTGTTGAAAAGACTGAATCTTTCTGTGCTGTATCAGACAGAAAAACCCCTGCTCCACAAAGACCAGCCCAGGGGGTCCCACCCCTGATCAGGCACAGGTCGTGTTCCCAACAGCCTCCTGAGGAAAGTGGGCTAACAGTGCTGGGGCTGAGCTCGTGTTGTGTTGTGAGGACAAGGGCTCTTCCCAGGGAACAGGGCTTGGAGAACATGGCTGGGCTTGTTTGCTGAGGGAGGGAGTGCAGAGGGTTGTTCCCAGTGCCCAGGGAACGCAGCCTTGGCCAAATGCCCCGCGTAGGTCTCACCTGTCCTGGTTCAGGGGATTCCTGTCTCCCTTCCTTGACCATTTCTGTAGGACTCTGCCTTGCAGGATCTGAAAGATGCTGCCTGTCTCTTGGAATATTGGAATAAAAAAATGCCATGTATTTCCCCAGCTGTGGTGCTGAGGGTTTCCCACCCTGTCACAGAACCCAGAGTTACATTTTGATCTGTGTATTGTAGCAGTGGAAGTTGTGCAGAAGGTACTGAAACCTCCTCTGACTTTGATGGTCTTTACAGAGAAGGCAAAGGGACTGTAAGGGCCTGTTGCCTTGGCCTTGTTTGCATTTTCCCTTTTTTAAGCTGTAGTTTTTTATTGGTAGTGTTATAATCTTGCAGCCATCCCAGCATGACTCAGAATTATAAGCAAATAGTGTTTATTAATTGCTTTCCCCTTAGTTCTCTTATGAGTAATTGCTCTTCACAGTCATTTAATAAAAGGGAAGGTAATCTTGCACCCAGAATGTGTCTTTTTCCTACTTTTTTTATAAATTCTGTATCTATTTTCAAACATTACTTTTGTCTCACACCCAAATTGTGGTGGCCTGACTGCAACTTCCAGCTGCAAGAATTCACTGGGAGGGTTGGGGAGGAGGAGGGAGGGAAAGATGAGAGGGGAGTTCCACGTTTCCACAAGGTGATAATCACAAATGTGATGAGCAAAGACAGATGGAAAACAACAGCAAAGGTCCTGCAGAAAAGATGGCACCAAAGCACAGCCCCTTTGCTGTACTGTGTGTGTTTGAATCACCCCTGTGCAGCTTTGCTTTCAGACAGAGCCCTGGTGGGAGGCAAACAGCAGCTGTAACCCCCTGTTGACCTGTGCTTTCTCTGTTTGCAGGCTGAGGTGGAGGAAACACTGAAGCGAATCCAGAGCCAAAAGGGAGTGCAGGGAATCATCGTGGTTAATTCAGAAGGTGCTGTGTCAGCCTCACTTCTCTGAGCTGTGACTTATTCTAACCCTGTGCTTGGGGGGCTGCTCACTGTGCCACTTAGCTTAGAGTCTGGCTTTAGCAGGGGTTTCTCTGGAACCAAAGCAGAGGGACTACAAGGGAAAACTGAGTTCCCATTTCTGCAAGCTCACTCTATTATTTTAGGAAATAAATTAAGATAATTTGCAAAAGCTTTGAAATACTTGAGTTATGCCAGTGTTTGAGACTGTGTCTATCAAAACCTCTGTCAGTAGCACTGAGGCTCTCATGAGATGTGGAGTCTTGCTGCTGTGCATGTCCAGAGTGCTGCTGGCCTGGCAGACTCAAGTTCCTCAGCACTGTTTGGTGCTCGTGGCCTTGCAGGACCCATCAGGAAATTGTCTCTTTTTGGAGTCACTGAAGGGTCCAACAGAGCAGCTGCTTCAGAGCACTCTGAATACACTGTGAGCAAACCTTAAAATTGTGTGATTATCAATTAAAATGGAATATGTCCTAGAAATGATCCTTAGAAAAGATGACAGTGGCTGTGTATGAATATACTGAGGATCAGATCACTGGGTACATGTAAGTAGCTTGTGTTCCTGCTCACTGCTTTTCCTTAGTGGTGAGTAATGGGCTGTGCTCTCCAGGCTGAAGCTGCAGCTGTTGGAACCTGCAGCAGTGGTTCTGCCCTGCCAGGATTTAGCCCTTGGCTGCTGCATTGTTCTGACACCTGAGCTGGGTTTGACTGGCTCTTTGTGGGAGAACACAGCTAATGGGTGGCTGAAGTGTAGGGGAGGGAAGACTCTGGCCAAGCAGTGTGTCTGCCCTCCTGGCTGGTGACCACTGAGGCAGGGACCTCACAGGACTGCATCACCTGCTGTGGCTGAACGGTGGAGCCCCAGCCTTGGCTCTGTGGGCTGCAGCAGCTGATGTCCTGTATAATCCCAGGCCCAGCGTGGCCTACGTGAGTCTCATTTAACTGTGGTGGTCTGGAGCCTTCCTGAAAGAAAAAGGTGTCCCCAGGCAGGAGAACCAAACTGAAACATTGGTATTTCCTCTCTCCTCTGCAGGTGTTTATTCTTGTTATTTATTTCTGACTCATATATAAATAAATGGAAATGCAAAGGTAGAGCACTGATGCTACTGCAGGTAAACAGTTCTCAGCTACACTCGTGGTCCCAGATCTCAGGTTTTCCACATCTTGTTGCTGTTCATGTTCTCCTTTTGCCTTTCAAAAGAGCACTCCCGACCCCCGGTGCACAGCAGCATCTCCTGAGGTGGAACAGCCACCCCACTGGACCTGGTGGTGCCCGAGGTTGTGGAGTGTTGTCCCTGAGCCCTGCTGTCCCTCTCCTGCAGGCATTCCTATCAAAAGCACCATGGACAACTCCACAACCATCCAGTATGCCGGGCTCATGCACAGCTTCATCATGAAGGCGCGGAGCACCGTGCGGGACATCGACCCCCAGAACGACCTCACCTTCCTGCGCATCCGCTCCAAGAAAAACGAAATCATGGTTGCTCCAGGTAAGAGGGAGTCAGGGCACCCAGCAGGATTGTTTTCTCACTGCCAGCCCGGGAGAAGCGTTCTGCCTGCTGCTGTGCTCACACTGGATAATCCCTTCTTGCCAGGGAGCTGTTCTGCTCTCTGCAGAGCTGAAAGCTTTTGTCACGGACCGAAGTTCGCTTTGTTGTGTTTGAGTGTGGGAAATCACTTCCCTCATTTCCCATTGATCAAAGGAGAAAGCATGAAACAGTGCTTGAGAGCACGTTGCAGCCTCTCATGCTTTGTGTTTTTTCAGTATAAAACCCCAGGATTTGGAAAGGAATATGTTTTGAGAGCAGTTTCCATTCAGAACTGTGGACTGAGTGAGAAAACAAAACAGTCCTGATTTTCCAGTTCTGAGGAAAGTATTAGAGCTACATTGTAGCTGTAATGATGAGTCCTGGAATACAGCAACAGCAACCTGCTTTTCAGGAAACATTCTCAGTATTCCATCAGATTCAGCGAGTGCAGTTCCCTGATGTGGCAGGAATTCAGCTTCTCCCTGTGTACTCCATGGGGATGGTCCTGATGGAAAGGCCAAGGCTGAGGCAGTTGCCTTGGGCACAGGTCAGGGCACATCTTAATGCAGGCTCTGGTTTATGCTGGGGTAGCCTCTGATTTCCACAGGAAGGATGGAAAGATTGCTCCAGGAAAAACATGACTGCAGCCCACAGTCAGAGGAGGGAAACCACTGCCTTGCACTGCTGGCTTTGATTCCATCATTGCATGTGCCAGTTACTGTTGTTTCCTGGCACAAACAGGGTTAACTTCAGCTGCCTTGGGAACATGAAGTTTCTAAAACTGAGACTTTTTATCATAAAACCCATAAAATAAGTGATCTGACACACAGAGCCTGTTTTGCTTGTTGAGAATCAAAATCGGGGCTCTGGAGTTCCCACAGTGTATAAGGGAGATGTGAAAATGTTGGAATTTACTGTTTCTGTGAACCAATATCAGCAGTGAAAGAATAATTTTCTTTTTTTTTTTTCTCTCCAGATAAAGACTATTTCCTGATTGTCATCCAGAATCCAACTGAATGATTGCACTGACTTGGTCTGGTTTTTTTCCACTTTGCCCAACTGTTTTTTTTTAATTTAATGGTAAAGAATAGAGCATTAGTGTTAACTGTGCTGTGCCACTCCAGTAAGGTTCGGAAAAACAAAAGCAGGTGGTTTGCTGTCCACAAACAGCAAAAATGGCACTTTTTTTTTGTATCACAAGTCGTTTCGAGGGAGAGCTGGTGAGTTAGAATTGGGCAGTAAAAAATGCAACAGATTCTTTTAATAGCTAAAAAGATAATATAATAAAATTCTAATAATAACCTAAAAAAGGCTATTCTTTGTATGCCTCCATGCCTCTGTCACCACTGAGCTCTGCTTTGACACTACTAGTTTTGAGTGGCTGTAAATATGACTCTGCCTGTCCTCTAGTTCTGTCTTACTCCATTGGTTTTACTTCCAAAAGGTCTGACCATACCATATTAAAATATGTCACCAGTGACTGGTTTTGTCTTATGTGTTTTTCTTCTGGAGATTTTAAGTATTCTGGTGATTGACTGACTTTTTATTCAAAAAGTAGAACCTTCCTAGGACTGTTTTTACCTGTCTGTTGCTTTCTCTGAACAAGGATTTGCTCTAAGGGCACATGCAGTGCACTCACAATTGCCTCGTGTTGGAGCATTTTCCCACCTCTTTCTTTCAGTTCCAGACAGAATTTTCATGGCCAAGTAAGGCCATTGAGGCTGCCCGTGGAGCTCCCAGACTGCCACTTCAGTAGCCAGTTTGACCCAGTATCTTCCTTTAGTATTTTTTGTTTGATGGCCACTAAGGACAAAAAAAAGTCATGTGGTCCCTCTCAAGTTACTAAAGGGGTTGTTTTGATTGAGTTTTTCTTCAAAAAACCAAAAAAGAAGCAGGGTTGGGGGTGCTGCAGGCAGTGCAGCTTTGGAGAGTTCAGTAAAAATGTTGGTGTTGACTTGGGCACCTGTGGCTTTCAGAGCTCAGTGGTGGGTGTGTGGGCACTCAAACAGCCCGGGTAACCTCCATGTTCAGCTTTTCTTCTGTGCACTTTAACACCTGGGCATTAATTTACAGACTGTCTCTGTCTTTTAGGTGGTGTTCACAACCCTGAAGGCCAGAAATGCTTTTTGAGATTTGTAGTCAGCCCTGCAGCATCTGGGTCAGGGTGATTTACAGCATTTGGGGTGTCTCAGCTGCCATCATGACTCAGTGTTGGCTGCTCCTGTTCATGAACTGTTTCTCCCACCTCCTTGGGTCTGGTTTAAGCCATTCCACCGAAGCAGGGAATAGGGTCTGGAATCCTGTTTGGCTTTGGAGCAGCTCCTGGCACACAGCAGGTTGTACAGTGCCTGTGATCTGCAATAGTTGAATGCTGTCTCCCAAGAAATGACCTCAGCAAGCTGAAGTCTGGATAATAACAGAGTAGTGAGGCAAGGCAGGAGAAAAATGTGACTTCAGTGATCTCTCTCTGTTATTGTTCATAGTCCAGAGAAATGTTTCCTTGGAGGTGGTGACCTGCTTATGGATTTTGGCTTTCCCAAGTAGGTGGTGGTGTTACTGCCCTGAACAGTGAACCATCTGTAGTGCCCTGCATTCTTTTGGACACTTCCTTAAGGATAACTGTCCTGCCAGTGCCTTTGTGTCATAGGAGCTTGGGAGAGAGAGTGTTGAGGTGGGTTGTGTTTAAAACAAGCTGTAACAAATAACCTATTGCAAAACAAAGATCACAGCCTTTTTCTGGGTTGAAACCATAAACTTGCAGTGAAATGACTCAACTCCTGCTGTGTGCTGGTTGGTTTGGGTTGTTGGGGTTTTTTTCCCAAGGGCTGACATGAAATATACTCAGGAATTTGAATAAAAGGGTCTTAAGAAGCTGGGTTTGGAGTCTGAAGGAGCTTGTCAAATCTATCTGGGCAGGGCCTTGCTAGTGCCACCTTTACACTTTGCATCCAAATTAATTCTGATTTATTTCTAAAAAAGGAGAAGGGGTGGAGGAAGCTGAAGAACGACAACTTCTATTTAGTTACTTGCTATGGAGAAAAAGTGTCTTGGATCAGGAGCATCAGAGGGTCACAGAGCTCTGACCTGCAGCAATTTTCCTGTATGTAAGTTTAGGGGAGGATTTCACTTTCTTTAAGTTACCTTAAATAGGGCCAAAAAAGAGATGGATGGAGTCGAGCTTCTTGTCCTGTGCTTGCTGAGTCTGGGCCTGGTCACTGTTATGGTAAAACCATTGTCAAATTGAGGAAGAGTAGAAAAACGAGCATGCTGGTTCCAGTCCTTTTTCCTGAGCAGAAAGCACATGGATCACAGGATGGCCTGAACAGCCTGTGCCCCTGTGCCTGGGAGCTGCTCTGTGGAGGGGCTGGGCACTGACCTGGTTTGCTCTCTTGGAGAGGTCAGTTTTGGTGCATCCCTCACTGAAGGCAGAGGAAGCATCTGCTGCTGGCAGGTGGAAAACAAACCCTGACACATTACCAAGGTAGTGAAAGGGAGTTTGGGGAATGGCTCTGGGCCATGAACAGCAGCCCTTGAGGCCCAAGGACGTGCCCTCCTGTGCTGACCCTGCTCCGAGAGAAGGCTCTGGCAGAGGAAGGGAGGTGACCCTGCAAAAGCTTGGCTTGTAACACTCATCTTCTGAGGAGCTTGTGTTGGCTCCAGTGCCCTCCCAAGCAACTCTTCATCTGCCCAAGGTGGCTGATGACAGTGCTCCTCCTCACTCAGGAGCTGTGGCTGCCCCATCCCTGGAAGTGCCCAAGCCCAGGTTGGACGGGGCTTGGAGCAACCTGGGCTGGTGGAAGGTGTCCCTGCCCACGGCAGGGGGTGCAGTGAGATGAGCTTTAAGGTCCCTCCCAACCCCAACCATTCTGTGGTTTATGTTTAATCTCAACACTTACATGTAACTACATCTCTAGGGCATGAAGGCAGAGCCCCTCTCACTGCTGGGCTGTGTGGGCAGAGCTGCAGCAGCTCCTCAGAGCCCTGTCAGCAGCAGGAGAAGCAGAGGCAGCTGGGGCTGTGCAGGGGCCAGAGCTCAGGCACTGCCCTGCCAGCACAGGCCTGAGCATCAGCACAATTCTGCTGAAGAAAACACACTCTACCAGCATCACAGGATTTCTCCAGGGACATTTCCCTCGCTGGTGTGGCTCCACAAGCACCCAGGAGTGCTCCTGGTCAGCACAGGCTACCCTGGTGAAACACTGGCAGGTGGGAAGCTCCTTGCTGGTTCCAGGTTGTGTCAAGGCAGCTCACTGGTGCCTTTACCTTTGAGTGCTCCAGGGGGGTTGGGATCTGAAATGCACCTCCTTAAGTGAGGAGTTGTGCCAATGGCATCAGTAAGACCAGGCAGGAGAGGCACTAATGTGTGCAGGGTTGATCAGGAAGCTGAGGGCTGAAGGGTGTATAAATCATGTTGTGCTGTATTAGAAGTAAAACTTCCTTGATCAGTGTCCCATTTCTGTAAGTACCTTAACATGCTAAGAAGCTCCAGAGCTTCAATGAAATGGGGTCTTTTCTCCTTCTCCAAGTGTATGAATAATCTTCTGTGGAATTATGGCCCCAGTCCTGCAACAAGGTCTGCATGGACAAAACCAGGGATGACATCACTACATTGGAAAGAGTTCCACATTCCTCTCATCGAAAAGGGGTTCACACTTTATAGCAATAAATAGTAAACCCCTTTACCTGAGGACACTGTGTAAGGTTCACCTTTCCATGTCTGATTCATCATTCTTGCTTTCCCTTAGGTATTCTCTGATTAACAGGACCTATATCAGAGATTAATGTCTCTCCCTGTATCTTAATTATGAAAATCAGTCTGAAGAGATTACACTTCCTTACCAGCATGGGCTTATTTAACTACTGCTTGGTCAAGGGAAATCCATGGCATTGGCCATGAAAGTGTTTCCTTTCTTGGGTAAATTCGACAAGGAGAAAAGAATTTGTTCAACTCTCATTAAACATATTTTTCTTTTAATTGATGACACAAGAATCAGAGCAGTTCTTTACCGGCTGCATCTTTCATGTCCTTTTTTTACCAAGGCTGTACTTAATCCTTTAACATTTTGCATTCACTCGTGTTTGGTGCCAATTCACAGTAGCAATGAGACCTTGCTCCAACATGATACACTCCTGTTGCAGTGTGCAGCGAGGAGGGATGTTAAACCTGGTTCTTGGCGGAGCACTGACGCTGTGTTTGCAGTTGTTTTTGATTCATTTACCAGCTCCAGAAATAGCTGCCCTATTTGTAGTTGTGCTGCGGGCTTTGAAATATTCAGCACAGCCGTGGCTCTGGATGCAGCAGGGAAAACAAGGGGCTCATTAGCTGGCAGATGATGGGGGAGACGTGGGAATTGCAGATGTCTGAGAGTCTGTGTGAGGGCGGTTCGTGTCCAGATTTGCTGTCTGGAATCTCCCAGGCACAGCCCTGGTCAGAGCTGTCTCAGCTGTATCCCTGCACAGTCCTTCCCCTCCACCCCCCTCACTCCAGCAGCGTTTCCTCCCAGTGACACCTGGAAGGTGTTTGATCCAAGATGTCCAGAAGAAGCCACTGCAGGCCAGAGTCATGGACACCTGTGTCCTGTGAGCACCTCTGGAAATCCCAGCCCAGGCGTCCTCCTGCTGCCTTCTCTGGTGTGCTGCTCTGAACAGTGCAGGTGTTTGGGGTCACCTCTGATGGACCGTTGTGTCCCCTCAGGGGATGGTGATGCTCTGCCATGGGGTTCCTGCTGACTGGGCACGGCTGGCCCCGTGTCACCAGCAGCCCTGTCTCGTGTTGGGGGATCATAAAAAAGAGGGAGAGTGACTTATTATATGGGCAGAGAGTGATGACAGGACAAGGGGGGACCGATTTGGACTAAAAGATGAGAGTTTTAGATTAGATATTGGGAATAAATCCTTCCCTGTGAGGGTGGGGAGGCCCTGGCACAGGTTGCCCAGAGAAGCTGTGGCTGCCCCATCCCTGGGAGTGTCCAAGGCCAGGTTGGAGGAGGCTTGGAGCAACCTGGTCCAGTTGAAGACCTTCCAGGGATGAGCTTTAATGCCCCTTCCAGCCCAACCCAACCCGTGATTCCATGATTTTCACAGCATTCCCAGGTCACTGTCACCGCTTCCAGCCCAACCCAACCCGTGATTCCATGATTTTCACAGCATTCCCAGGTCACTGTCACCGCTTCCAACCCAACCCAACCCGCGATTCCATGATTTCCATGGCACCCCAGGTCAGTGTCGCCCCTTCCAACCCAACCCAGCCCCGCGATCCCACGATTCCCACGGCATTCCCACGGCATTCCCACGGCATTCCCACGGCATTCCCAGCCCGGGTCCCTGCAGGGGCAAGCCCCGCGGGGCGGGGCGGTGGGCGGGGCGATTGGCGGGGCCGGCTGCGGCGAGGCCCGCCCCCGGGGCGTGCGGCGGTGACGTCAGGCGCGCAGCGCAGGCAGCGGAAGCGCCGTGCCGGTTGCCGTCCGCGCATGCCTCGGA